CTCGGCGCCCAAAAAACGCCCAGTCGCGCCCCCAGGGTCTCGTTTTTCGCCGGGTTGGGCCGAAATAGCAGCCGGCGAACCCAAGCCGAACCCAAGCCCCCGGGGGCAATTGGGGGCGCCGGCTGAAGCGAAAAGGCACGTGGGTCCGCTCTGTCAGCGAGAGAAGGCCCTTTTCCTGCCGATTCTACGGCCTTTCCCCCTCCGTTTTCCTCCATTCCGCCCTTCTCTCCTGCCATTCTCCTTCCTCCCTCCTCCATCTGACCTCCATGCCGTCGAAGAAGTATGCCGCCCCTCACGCCGCTACCACTACCGATGCCACCCAGCCGAAGCAGAGGAAGCCACGGGTGCCCCGTCTAAGCCCCCTAGCATGTCAAACACCGACTGGAAGGCAGAAGTGCAGCGCCAGGAGGCTTTCACCACCGACCGGCGGAACAGGCTCAACGCCAAGAAGGCACGGGACAGGGCAGCGACAGCGGCGGCCATGGCGGAGCAGGCAGATCGCGCGGCGGAACAAGCAGAGGCATCTCGCGTGGGGATGATGAATCCGCGCGGCGACCACGGCCCGCACGTTCCTTGGAGCCAGCAGAGCGTCGGGTCACCGGCCGGCTTCTCATCAGCGACACACCCCTGGGGTTGCGCGCCATCGTCTGGCTACGCCGACGGCGACGCCCACGATGGCTTCAACCCTAACATCACCTTTCCACATGGCCACCCCGCCTAGCGCACGCCCTCACCCGTGTTCGCTGGCGTCCAGTACCCCCCGTACATCTACTCGCCGCCGGCCTACGCATCTTCCCCGACGCCACCTCTGCGCCGTGGCGCGCTGCTCTTCTCATAGGCCTCGTCGTCGCATCTCGGCAACCCCGACGGGACGGAGGCCAACATGGATGACATCATCACGACCGGCTCGGCCGCAACCGCGACCTCCCCAGGGTTCAATGCCCAAGAAGATGCAGTCGACCTCAATGGCGACATGGGCGACGGGCTCGACTATGACGAGGAGGAACCGGGGGAAGAATAGGGCAAGGAAGAGGAGGAGGAGGAGCCAGCGCCTGCTCCGGCGAAGAAAGGCAAAAAGAAGAGGAGGCGGGCGGCCAGGATCGGCGAGCCGCGCGTCAAGTGGGTGTCCAAAGAAGACGAGTGCCTCGCCGAAGCGTGGAAGGTCGTCTGCCTCTATCCGACCATTGACACGAACCAGAATGCCGAGACATACTGGGACCGCATCAAGGCGGAGTTCGACGAGCGAAGCTGGTCGACCCCTACTTCGCCGGCGTCCACATGCAGCACGGCGCGAAGGCCATGGCCAACCATTGGGTGCTCATCCAAACGTTGTGCAACAAATGGCATGGGATTGCCGAGGAGATCATGGCTCGCCCGGAAAGCGGTGCCAACTACGAGAGTCAGGTATGACGCTGGTTCCTCATTCTTTTTCCGTCGTGTGCGTCGCCGACATTTGTTCCTCCTTGGCGCAGATGGTTCGGATGTTCGCCATGTTTCGCTAGGACTGCAGCTCCGACCAAGATTTTAAGTACCTCCACGTGT